ATTAGTATAGTAGTTATTTATCCATATGACCGACCTGGGATGTTTAGTGGTGGAATGCCACTCATGTGAATCTCCTGCCTGTCCTTAGTGGGTTGAAGATGATCAGAGGGGTGGTGAAAGGCAGAATGTGCTACTAACACGACAGTCTTTCTCTTGTCTGGGCAGTGCCTAGTAATGGCGTGAACATCATGGTGAATCTGGTCCACATACACCTGGAAAATAATTTCAAAACTCACTCAATGGAAAAAAGAATAATTACTTCTAACGTTTTGATACAACAGAGGTTAAAATTAACCTTTGGACGGTCCCAAGAGAGACCGCGAAGCAATTTTTTTACTGGAAAATACTAAAGAAACAAACAACAAGAGGATGTCGTTTCTGTTGAAACTGGTCCATGGAAATATTTAACAAATAGATCCCATGTTGCCTTGCGTCTGTTCGGTTCTAGATCATGGATGACGTTAAAATGTGGTAAGAACAAAAGATTTGAAAAGGAAACTTTGTACCTGTGTATATCCTTCTTCACCGAGCCATCTGTGCAGTTCATTGATGGCTTTTTTGGCTGAGAGAATACCATCAGTCTCTTTCACAAATGCCGCTTTTTCAAGTTTAGATTTGTCATTTGGCCAAGACAAGTACAGGCGATCTTCTTTTACGACATGGATCTACAACACAATTTAAACACACAGGAATTAACTAACAAATCTTTGATTATGAATTTTAAGATATCTTCAGGATGATAGAATATCTCTTAATGACAAGCAAGGAACAAGTATTTGCATACTGTATCTCATCACAAGCACCCGTTTTCTTCCTCCTCCCGAGTTCTTACGCGACTAAATCTTTCTCCCTCTATCAAATTGTTTTTATCTTATCTTCGAAAATTACCTACCCATCCCTCAAGTGTTTAACTGCTAAATTTTCCTTGTTCCTTTTACTTTCTGTATCTCCCCTTTTAAACCCACCAAAAAATGCATCTACCATCAGAGCGAGTTTAACTTACATGATGCGGCACCAGTTCATCGTATCCTCTGGAACTACCCGTGGCACAACAAGCCATTGATACTAAAGCTGAACTGGCAATTGAGTCATAAACTGATCGCACCTGAGAAAAAAACAATAGCCATATCATTTCACAAATAATACAGTTTTCTTTCAATGCTTTTTAAGGAAAATAAGTAAAAGAAAAGTTTACTGATATAACGTTTTACCATTAGTGATAAAACACCCTGGGATACTCATGCAAAAGCTTACAGTGTACTCTACTTTCTTTACCATCGACTCCACTAGATATTAATTTTGGTCTAACTGTAGCTGAATTAGAATGCACTCATCAGGATACATTTATTTGATTGAACGCCTAATCTTGAATTAGCACCCACCCCGTAGGTGGGTGCCTAAATTTACTGTCTATCAATACATATTACATTTTATGACAGTTATTTTGAATAAGCGCCCACCTTCGAATAAGCACTCTCTACAAAGGTCCAAACGTCAAATAAGCCCTCAGGGTGCTTACCAGTAATCAAATAAAGTCGTTACTTTAGGCGTAGCTGAGAGAAACTCTAACTTCTTGAGTACTCTCCATGTGCTTCATATCTAATCAAATTCACAGCTGGCACTTGAAAGGGTTGTTTTATAAACTATTTCCAGCAAAAGTTTTATTGAAGTTGCAAGAAAAAAATCCCACTGTGAACACACTCATCACAGATATGTACAAGAGGAATTTATAAAATAATTCAAATAATACGCGCGCTCTGATTGGCCATAAAACCATTT